TCATCTCAAGGAAAGACTCCAGCATATTACAGACCAAGGTCTTGCTATGCAAGTCAGCCATGCATTAGAGCTTCCGCTGCACTGGAGAGTGCAGAAACTTGAAGCAAAGTGGTTCATATATGTGTACGAGAATAGACACGATGCAGACTATACTATACTCGAATTTGCTAAGTTGGATTTCAACATCGTACAGGCTATGTATCAAGATGAAATAAAACAAATGTCAAGGTATTCCATCTAAGAAAGAATATAAAAAGAATCCCTTTCTCTCATTTTTAGCTAAAGTCTTGTGTTTAACTTTTTATTTGATCAGGTGGTATAAAGCAAGCTGTGTTACGGAGAAGTTGAGCTTTGCTCGGCACAGATTGGTGGAGTGCTTCCTGTGGGCATTGGAATTCACTCCAGAGCCACAATTTCGATACAGTAGAAGGATTTTAACCAATATTGGTGTACTAGTAACAATTATTGATGACTTCTATGACGTATATGGGAGCTTAGATGAACTTGAGCTTTTTACTGATATAGTGGAGAGGTTGGTTTATGATAATGCATAGCAGCATGACCCATCAGCACAGCCCGGGCTCACGCAGCCCGTGCCATATTTTTAGCCTCCATTGGATATAATTTAAAAAGTTGAATAAAATTTAAGTTACTTTTAATCACATATTTTATTTGACTCCAATTTTTAACAACTTTTCAACCATATATGATATTTAGCAAAACAGATCAAGGTTCTAGGTGGGTTGTGGGGCCTTAAGCCGCGCCTATTACGGCTGGGTCATGTTAGTTGTACAATCGAGGTTGACAATCACTCACGTGAGTGAGTGAGTGAGGGAGGGGGGGGGGGTTCAATTTTTTCTTTTTAAATTTTTTAAACATGTAAACTCCACATATATGTGAGAGGTTGTCAACTTCAATTGTACAATTAGAATTTTTCATTACGGCTCTATTGTAAAAACTGGTCAACTCACTATACAAACTGTCATAGGTCGAGATTGTTCTATGGATTAATCCCTTTTTACAGGGGCCTACACCCTCTCACATGGACCCACCTCAAAGCATTTAACACATTTTAATCCTTTCCCTCAGGAAAATCTTTATTTTTTTGGTATATCAGGTGGGTGTTCATATATGTGTACGAGAATAGAGACGACGCAGACTATACTATACTCGAATTTGCTAAGTTGGATTTCAACATCGTACAGGCAATGTATCAAGATGAAATAAAACAAATGTCAAGGTATTCCATCTAAGAAAGAATATAAAAAGAATCCCTTTCTTTCATTTTTAGCTAAAGTCTTGTGTTTAACTTTGTATTTGATCAGGTGGTATAAAGAAAGCTGTGTTACAGAGAAGTTGAGCTTTGCTCGGCACAGATTGGTGGAGTGCTTCCTGTGGGCGTTGGAATTCACTCCAGAGCCACAATTTAGATACAGTAGAAGGATTTTAACCAATATTGGTGTACTGGTAACAATTATTGATGACTTCTATGACGTATATGGGAGCTTAGATGAACTTGAGCTTTTTACTGATATAGTGGAGAGGTTGGTTTATGATAATGCATAGCAGCATCACCCATCAGCACAGCCCGTGCTCACTCAGCACGTGCCATATTTTTAGCCTCCATTGGATATAATTTAAAAAGTTGAATAAAATTTAAGTTAATTTTAATCACATATTTTATTTGACTCCAATTTTTATCAACTTTTCAACCATATATGATATTTAGCAAAACAGATTCTTTTATGCATTTAACACATTTTAACTATTAACACTGGGTCATACTAGCCGTACCACTCACATAGACAACTCATTTATGCATTTAACACATTTTAACTATTAGGCAACTCATTCATGCATTCTACACGTTTTAATTCTTTCCCTCAGGAAAATCATTATTTTTTTGGTATATCAGGTGGGACATCAATGCATTAGACCAGCTTCCAGAATACTTGAGGATTTGTTTCCTTTTTCTCTTCAACTCCATTAATGAAATGGCTTACGATGTTCTTAAAGAGCATAATTTCAACATAATCCCAAACGCCAGGAAATTGGTATAATCATTTTTCTCTCTATACCTTATTCTACTTTTATGTCTCGTGATAGTTTTTTTTTAAATGTTACATGCTAAAAATTATTAATTCTTGATCAATATACATATATCTCTGATTATAATTTTTACATCCATCAGTGGGCGGAGCTTTGTAGACTCTATTTGATAGAAGCTAGATGGTATAACAGTGGGTATTTTCCCAGCCTGAGTGAGTACCTCAACATAGCCGTGACATCCTCAACAGGACCTTTGCTTCTTTTTCATGCTTTTGTTACCACAATAAACCCATTAACAAAGAAGGATCTGGGACGTCTGGAGCAAAAACCCGGTATCATTCACTGGCCATCACTGATTCTTCGTCTAATAGATGACTTGGGAACTTCGACTGTAAGCAAACTCGACTCTTAACTCTATGTTTGGTATACAGTCCATTTTAAAATAAGAAAAACAAAGTTAATTTGTCTCGTACGATACTGCATATGAAACATAATTTTTCTTAGATACAATACAATTATAACAATTGATACATGATATTTTATGAATATTTGAACTCAAATATATATTCCAGGATGAACTCAAGAGAGGTGATGTTCCAAAATCAATCCAGTGTTACATGAATGACACAGGCTGTTCCGAAGAGGATGCTAGAGACCACATTGAGAATCTAGTAGATGTGACATTGAAGAAATTGAATAAAGATATACTAATGGACTGCTCCTTCAAGGATTTCGTTGGTCCGGCACTTAATCTGGCAAAGATTTCTCGAGGCTTTTACCTGTATGGAGATGGATTTGGAGTTCCTCATCTCCAGACTAAAAAGGACTTAACTTCACTAATTGTTGAACCAATTCCACTGCAACAATTCCGTGGGGACGTGTAATAAAGTCATGCTGTGTGACATTTCGAATTTCTAGTGGCATTCTGAATAAATTGTACTTTATCTTTGCAAGAATAAAATTTCATATGAAATTGTGCTTTCTTACGTGGAATTCATGGTCCATCCCAGATAAGAACAGGAATAAATTATCTATTAATAAACAAACAAAATGTTATATCCGACTTGTCTATGCAATGATTAAATTATTTTTCTTTATTAATGTTATCAAAGTAAACATGATAACAGTGAATAAATAGTAACGAAATTCCAACAAGGTTAAGTTAATAGATCTTTTCTAAAGGATAAAACCCAGAATAAATCTTTTGATCAACAAATTTATTCGACGGCCAAGTTAATAGACGTTAAATGCACTTTTCTAAAGGATTTCTAGGACCGTACATGAAGAATATTAATCTTCAATAAAAGAGGTATATTAAAAAGTTTTATAAAAGTCACTATAATTTTTTAGTAGTGTAAAACTTATACTTTGTGATATGATTTATAGTCATTTAGAGTAAGAGCACTATTGCTTTTTTTTTTTTTTAAGGCAATTATTGTGAAAAGAATAAAATGGAGACATATGGAAAGTGTTGTGATGATATGTGGTCGAAATATACGTAATGTATAGGAACAATTCCAAGGCACATTTTGCTTGCTTGCTTGCTAAATCGAGCGAGAGAAGGCTAAAGTGCTCGTTTAAGTGAGAGCAAAAAATAATTATTTGAGAATTCAATAAGTTTTTCTATAATATAATATTATTATCAAGTAGTTAATTTGAAAATTAGTCGATAAAAACTTATTTACTTGCAAGTGAATTGAATTTACTAGCATTGGGTTTTGACCCGAATTCTATTTTAAAATTCTAATTGGAATTCAATTGAGAGATTGAAATTTACATTGAACTTGAAGAAGACTTGTAGGAATCCTAATTGCAATAAGAAATGAAGAAATTGTACAAGAAGAAGAAAACGTTGGACCAATGCTCGCTAGGCACCTTGATCCTGCTCAAGCACTCAAAATAGGAGTTCAAGCCTTCGCTTACCACAGACAGCCACTCAAGTAATCAGCCATCACTCGACATCTCCGGGAAAACATAGTTTGCGATTTTGGCATATTTTTTAAATCATATTTTATTCCAAACACTCCATTATTGTTTAGACTTGTTATAGTTGAATTCTACCACATATTGGGCTCTTCTTTGCACTATAAATATGGGTAAACTTCTTGAAAAATCATTCTTGCACTCTACACAATTTGTAATCATAGATTATTGATATTAGTAAATTCTTCTCTTTTGCTTGTGATTAATTCCACGTAATTTTTGTATTCTTTATTATTTGATTTTCATATTGTCATATTATTCTCGTTCATTTATTTCCTAACAAGTGGTATCGGAGTGGATACATGCAAGATATTATAACGAAATTGAGTAGAGGTTCCAACAAAATGCATGAATAATAACTGGGTAGTCGTTGTGAATGTGTTGTTGAGATTAATTGTAATACCCCAAATTTAGATGCCTAAATTTGAAGTATTATCATTTAATTTTCTATTAAAATTATAAATGCGGAATACGATTATATTTTTTTCTTTAACATGATAAATATTAATTACTTAATTTATGAAAATACAGTGTACTTATAAAGTATAGAACAATTAAAACTTGACTTTATTTCATAAAAAATAAATATTCAAATTATATGAGTACTGAATCCGATTTACCACAAGTCGTCGTCTCGAATCATCTTGCATTTATATATGAAAATATGGAGGACTAAACTTCATGCACATGATGAATGCTTATGGTATGCATATAAATTTTTTTAAAAAGTATTTCTCAATATATATCCATTTTTCTTTTATTTCTTCAAAAACTTAATATTAATTAAGTGAGCTCACTTGGTGTATCACATAGTCAATCTAAATGCAGTGAGCAATTATTATTTGGAACCCAATTCATCCTACCGGTAGTACCAAAAAACGTTTAACATTAATATTATCATGGAATATTGAAAATTGGTTAGGTGCGCCGATATCCCACGCTCCATTTTCAACTCACATTGTAAANTAATTAATTATTCTACGTGCTATATTTTTATATTTTGAAAAGTTAGGGACTAAAATGATATATTGCAATTTCAAATTTTATTTGGGTCATATATTTAGATTTTGACCGAGTATGATAAGTATATGAATATTGGTCTAGTTGGATAGATCGTAATTAAATACATAATTCATGCTCGAGAAAAAGTCGATTCAAATAAGTCAGCTCCAAGATATTGTCGATCGAAGAAATTGTTAAAAGTTAATTTATTTTTTAATTATAACTTTGAATATGTAAGTGGAGGTACTGCACGTGCATGAAAATGTTATAATTTGGGGTTGCTTCTGGACACGTGTATGAATTCTATTTTTGTTTTCCCCAACGTTTATCTAATTACTCACCTTATTCTACACGATTTCCACTATGTGTCAGCTCTTGAGGATAGGTTCTTATTGCTTGTGCATATAGAAACATGTATATTGGAGGGGATACATGCACACAAAAGGGGAAAAAAAAAAAATAGAGTGACTATACAGTAAACAACAGAGGCAGAAAAGAGAGAAAGAAAGAAAGGGAACGTGATTTTTTTTGTTGTCTTCCAAAATCAAAGCAAGTTAACAAGGTAGGTGATGCTATCAAAAATTGTACCTGGCCGTTTTCAATCTTGACAACTGTTGATGAGCACGAACGTGATCTTTCGGTACTTGAAACAAAGGCGGTGAGGTACGCCCTCGTCCTTCTCTGATGCTTAAGTCAGATAGGAAATTTTATGCATGAGACTATATGCTGTAAAATAATGTAAAACGTACCTGAATACTGAATTGGGAGCCCTTATATGTAGGGCTAGGTGGCAGAATCTTCGTAGGACTGAGTAGCGTACTCCTGATAGGACTGAAACTATTCAAACGTCCTTGTATGAATGAGCTTTTGGCTTTTACAACTCTCGATGAATGAGGTTTTGGATTTACTTTGAGTAACGAGCTCGAGGTGATAATGAGACTCAAAAGAAATGTCAAAGTGTTAGGATCGTGGATATGTGTGGAAAATGTTATCTTGAGGAATGGTTTCTCGTGTACATATGTAGGCAATGACTCGAGCCCCTTCATATCCTGAGGAGTTATTTCTCTTGGACACAATTAGGTAATGACTCGAGCCCTTTTATACCCCAAGGGATGATTTCTTAAGGACATAATTAGGTAATGAACCGAGCCCTTCGTATATGACTCGAGCCCTTTCATACCCCGAGGAACGATTTCTCGTGGACACAACAAAGGCCATTACTCGAGCCCTTGCTCGAGCCTTTCAAAGCCGAAGAAGGGCTCGCTCAAAGCTTAGTATGGCTTCCTAGAGGTAAGGATTAAGAATGGCTTGCTCGTGACAAGGCTTTGCAGGGCTTGCACAGAGCAAGACTCAAGAGTGGCTTGCTCGGGGCAAGGCTTGGTAGGGGGCTTGCACGGGGCAAGGCTTGAAAGTGGCTTGCTCGGGGCAAGGCTTAAGAGTGGCTTGCTCGGGTAAGGCTTAAGAAGTGCTTACTCGGGGTAAGGCTTACTAGGGCTTGGTTGGGGCAAGGCTTAAGAGTGGCTTGCTCGGGGGCAAAGCTTAAGAGCTTGCACGGGGCATAGCTTAAGAAGTGCTTGCTCAGGGTAAGGCTTAGGAAGGGCTTGCACGGGGCAAGGCTTAGGAAGGGCTTGCACGGGGCAAGGCTTAAGAATGGCTTGCTCGGGGCAAGGCTTAGGAGTGGCTTGCACGGGGCAAGGCTTAAGAAGTGCCTGCTCGAGGCAAGACTTAAGGAGTTTTATGATCGCAAATCGAACTGTTACTAGAATTTTTTTTCTTGACTACCCAACAAAAAGGTAAATTCTGGCACGCAGGCCGACCAACAAACTAAAAAGAATAACTTAGGCACGCAGGCCGACAAACAAAAAAAACAACTTAGGGACGGAGGCCGACCTATCAATAAGATAAACAACTTAGGCACGCAGGACGATTATTGAAGTAGATAACATGGCACGGGGGTCGTCAAACAAACTAAAACCTGGATGTGGTCGGGAAAATTGCTTGTAATAGATCTGCAAGTTTTCAGCGTTCCATGGCCTAGGAAGTGGTCTTCCCGAGGAGTCCCTTAAACTGTAGGACCCTCTACGAACATTTCGTACGACTTTGAAGGGCCCTTCCCAAACGTGGCCAGCGGCTTTAGCAACTTCGAAGGGGCCTTCCAAGCTTTCCCTGGGTGTGGCCAACGGCTTCAGCTCTTCTTAATACTAGATTGCCTGCTCTGAACTTCCGAGGCCTGACCTTTTTATTGAAGTGTCTTGCCGTCATATTTTGTTAAAAGGCTGCTCTTACAGCGGCATTTTCCCTTACTTCCTCGAGGACGTTGAGATGTTCGCTTGAATGTTCAGAGGGCTCCGGTTCAAGTCTCTTGAGGCTGGGCATGTTGATTTCTACGGGGATTGTGGCTTTAACACCAAAAGCCAGCATGAATGGGGTCTCGCCCGTGGCCATTCTGTGAGATGTCCTATATGTCCAAAGTATAGAAGACAAGTCATCGGGCTCTGAAATAGTGGCCAAGGGCTCTGTCCCTACACATTTGGTAAAGTACTCGACCGCCACCACCACAAACTTTAACTGTCCTCTTGCCACAGGGAAGGGGCCTAGGATGTCAACGCCCCACTGTTCAAATGGAGCACAAACACCAATGGTAATGAGGTCTTCGGAAGGGCTATGGATGACATTGCCGAATCTCTAGCACTTGTCGCATTTTTTAACATATTCTGACGCGTCTTTCTTTACGGTAGGCCAGTAATATCCATACCTTAAAAGTTTGAAAGCCAGGGCCCAAGCCCTTTGGTGATTCCTTCAAACTCCTTCGTGAACTTCGACTAGGGCTCGAGACGATTCTGATGCTCTAAGACACCTGAGATATGGTAAAGTGAAGCTTCTGTGGAATAAGACTCCCATGATTGTGTAATTCCTAGGTACTCTAGATCAAACACTCCTTGCTTCCCGAGGATCCTCAGGTAGAGTTCCCTTAGTTATGAAGTCCACTATCGAATCCATCCAAGAGGGCTCATGCTTGATATCTAAGACTTCCGAGTGTTTGCTGATACTGGGTTTTGTCACAATCTTGACATGGATAGTTTTGTCCAGTCCATCAACCCCTATAAAAACCAATCTGGACAAGGCATCGGCCTTGCAGTTGTCACCTCCAGCAATCTTCACAATTTCACAACCCTTGAACTATCGTCGGAGATCATGAGCTCCTAGGCAATATAAGCTCATTTTCTCCCCCTTCCTTTCAAATGTTCCTTCTATCTGGCCCACTAAAAGTTGTAAATCGCTAAAAAATTTTATGTACTCAAGTTCAAGGCTACATGCGAGTTCCATACCGATGATGACGGCCTTATACTCAGCTTCGTCATTGGTGGCTTCAAATTCGAATCGAAGTGTACACTGAATCTCTCTTAGTCTGTCGGGGCTGACGATAATGACCTTTGCACATGACCCCGAGGAGTTGGATGCTCCATTCACAAAAATTTCCAAAGAATCCATCGACCTCGAAGTGTCCCCTAGCCTCTGAGGCCTTGGGGTGAGTTCTGATATAAAATTCGCCAAGGCCTGTGGTTTGAATTCTATGTCAAATTCTCCAAGCTCTATCACCCATTTAAGTAACCTCCCAGAGACGTCTGGTTTCTGAAGTATGTGCCTGAGGGGCTGATTCATGAGCACAACTATTAGGTAAAACTAAAAATATTGTCGAAGTTTTCGGGCTGCCATGACCAATGCAAGGGCAAGTTGCTCAGCCTGCATATACCTAGTCTCAGCATATAGTAGGACCTTGCTTACATAGTAGATAGGTTGTTGGGCTTTGTTGGCCTCTTTCACCAACACACCACTTACCGCGTTCTGAGATACTACTAAGTATAGGAACAAAGTATCGTTGGGCTCAGGTTTGTTGAGGACCGGTGGGGATGCCAATTCCTGCTTAAGCTCTTGGAAAGCCTTCTCACATTCATCACCATACTGAAAAGTTTGGTTACCCCTGAGAACTTTGAAGAAGGGGAAGGACCTATCTACTACTCAAGACACAAACCTGTTTAGGATGGCCACACAGTCGGTCAACTTCTGCACTTCTTTCCTGTTCCTCGGGGGTTCCATGGAGGCCAAGGCCTGTATTTTGTCAAGATTGGCCTCTATACCCCTGTGATTTATCATAAAGCCTAGGAACTTTCCCGACGCTACTCCGAAGGCACATTTAGTTGGGTTCAGTTTCATCTTGTACTTTCGTAGGGTGGTGAATATCTCCTCCAAATCTGATATATGTCGGTCTATTTGCTTGCTCTTTATTACCATGTCATCCACGTAGGACTTAACATTTCTCCCGATTAGTCCAACAAAGACTTTGTTGACGAGTCTTTGGTAGGTTTCCCCCGCGTTCTTCAAACCAAAGGACATGACCTTGTAGCAATATATAGCGAAGTCTGCTATGAAAGATGTATTTTCTTGGTCTTCCTCGGCCATACGGATTTGGTGATACCCAGAAAATGCGTCCAGGCTGTCCATAAGGTTGTCAATCCTAGGAAGTGAAAAAAAAAAAAAAAAAACTTATAATAAAGTAAACGTATTACTTACTTGTCCTAGAAGATTATGCTCATTGAGTAGTGGCCTTTAATCACATACTCCGGTGACATGTAACCACTGCAGTCATGATAAAGGAAACACTTAAAAGTGGAACTACATTTTTTGATCAAAATTTTTGTGTAATTGAAAAAAGAATCTTTTGTGTGTTAGATTTACTTACTGTGTTCTGATCACTCTCTTAGTAGTTTCCTCTCTCTCATTTTCGAAAATCCTTGCCAGACCAAAGTCAGATATTTTGGGGTTCATCTCGTTATCTAGCAAAACATTACTTGCCTTCAGATCCCGGTGGATTATCCTCAATATGGATTCATAATGAAGATAGTTTAATCCCTTGGCAACTCCCTTAAGAATGCCAAAGCGCTTTTCCCAAAGCAGTAATATCTTCCTAGCTTCATCTGCAAATGATATTACACCAAATCAAAAATAACTGATTTCCTTCAGTTGTATGGTATGATGTTATGAAAAATTCGTAGAATGTAAGACGGATGTACCAAATATAAATTGGTCAAGGCTCTTATTAGTCATGTACTCATAGACTAGCATTTTTTCTTCTCCTTGAATGCAGCATTCCAGAAGCTTAACTAGGTTTCGGTGCTGAAGTTGTGCAATCAAAGTGACTTCGTTCTTAAATTCTTGGAGCCCTCGATACGAATTTTGTGACAGCCCCTTTACCGCAATGTTCTGTCCATCTAGTAATTGACCCTAAGCAGCATAATGTGGAACATTTTCAGCATCAGCATTTCAGAAAAAAAATTCTTTTCTTACAACTGATATTTACCTGATAGACAGGACCAAAACCTCCAAGTCCAATTTTATTGTCTGGGGAGAAATTGTTGGTAGCAGTAGAAATTGCGTTTATATTGAACAATGCAACATCTTGATCATTCTCCCCACCTCCTGCAGGACCTATGTAAAGCATGTTTTCTAATTGAGCTCACCAAAGGAAATAAACTGGAAAAGAGCGAATTGATAGGTTTTAATGCATCAGAACATTTTATGGAAATGCACTAGCATAAAAACGAATATATTAATTCAAGAAATTTTTGTGATTCAGATTATCATCTTTATGGGAAATGACTAGAAAATAAGTCTCTATTACCATAGGTGCACCTTGTGCAAGCACTTGACAAAGATCCTACCTCTAGAATGGAGAGTGAAATGATATTAGTATGGCTTAACATAAAACATTTTACCTTGCCTCTTGGCCTCCTTAAAATGGCATATACACCAACTAACAACAAGCCAAAAACTAATCTAGAAAATTGCTGATATAAGAATGCTAGCAGTCGTGGTCGCATCTTTCTTCTTCTTAGCATGGGCAATAGACTCTGTCAAAGCAAGTGACAAGAGAACTTAGTCAAGGTTTCCTTTGTCTTGTGAAGGTAAAAAATAAAATTTAGATTTCATCACCCAAGTTAAAAATTCGAGAATAACTTCAAAAGGCATGATGAAAGTTTATCAAAGTTTTTATGTATTATTTTTCAACATCCTTATTGAAGATCTAATACATTAATGAGATAGCCTGTGGATTCAACAATAATTACCAGTTGAATCAAAAACTTCTATACCAGTGGATTCTACATGAAAGAAAAGAAAAAGGAAGAAAATACGAGCAAATGACATCATTTACAGAAGCAATTATACCTGAATGCATAATTACCTTCTTTAAAATTTCTATGAGGCAGACTAATCGAATTATAAATGCAAATGGAATTACTAAAATTCATTGTTCCATACACATTATACCTAAAGTCCAGGTAATGATACAAGTATTAGTGATGAATGCTTATTGATGAATGCATTTTTGGAGGCATCAAACTTAAGTTTGTTGGTTGCATTTCATCTTTCTCTGCAATTTGCAGACAATATGTAAGACAATCAAGATTCATGAAGAAATTTCATCACAACAAATGTACAATCCGCATACATGTGAAAAAGTGCACGTGTTCAACAGACGCATTTCATGCATACGGTGTTTAAGCAAATAATAATTTGCACTCACATTCAATTATAGCGCCGCAATTTTGAAGATAAGGACAATACATGTCAATAATAATTAACAAGACTTCGTACCTAATTCGCAAAGTGCCATACGTATATATATCTCATCTCCTCCATGAATAGAATATCGAATATCAAGTAAATCGCCCAACCATACCACACATTCGCTGCCATTCCCATATATGTTTATATTAGTGTAAGCCATGCAAGAACATTCCTTCAAACAATTATCTTCACATTCCTGAGAGCTCAAATTCCTCGAGACAGTGAAATTATCAGGCAATTTCTGTCCTTCGTACTTCACGAAACCATCACCATTGCTACAATTTAGAGCATAGTGCCATCTACAGCCATCACCACAGTCCATCCCGCACCAGTTATTGGGAGAATTGGTCACATATCCGACACTGGCAACCTGGATCATCAGCATAGCAAATTCCATAAGGGCCACACGTTCCGTAGTTGTCACAGATATCCTTATTCACGGTTACCAATGGAACCCAAGCCTGGGCCTTTTTTTTCCATTTCAGGAACTGTATGGTGCTGATTGGATTCACCACCAATCTGAGTAAAATTGCGTCATCCAACATTTCGAACGTAAAATAAACTTCTTCAGAACTGAATTTATGCACAGGCTTAAACACGGGCTTATCTGTAATAGCATCAGCACCGCTATATCTTTGCCCATCCCAAGGACCCCACCTGGACACTTGTACCTTATTCTTTTCCAGTAGCAATTGCGGCGACTGAGGTGATTCCAAGCTAAACTCAAACACACCATTAGATGAATACTCATACGATATCCAGGATGTCATAACACGTCTTAAACCGGCTTTCAAATCCCAAGCTAACTTCATTCCTGGTAACAATGTATCAGAAGGAAAATCAAAACATTGCCAAACAAACTCTCCGTCTGACAGTTTGTCACCATCTTTAATAACAAGATTGCCGGATTCCAGGAGCACCAGTTCTGGCCTGGAAGCAGGCTTTGCAACCCTACAAACCCAAATCACAGTTCTCTCATCATCCCGAAGCAAAAGATCTCCAGCAGAGTTTAAAACAAGTTTAATCCTAGATCCACGCAATGGCTTCATCTTGTTACCAACCCATGCTATTGTTAACTGTTTGATTTCCCTGTACTATATGCCCAAGTACCACATTCTATGGTTGTGATCATTTTTTGAAGAAACATTGAAAAATCCTAGCTGAAATCTCCGATTGGCAGAGACTAAAGTCTGTCCATTCTTGAAAACCTGGTAAGGAGTTAAAGTGTCTGAACACTTGATCCCAACGTCAGAAACATACACAAAACAGATTATAAGTAACCAAAAAAGAGTAGCCATCGATACGGGTTTTCTTCCGTTAGGTGGTTAGGACCCGCCAAACTCCACATTGATATGATATTGTTCGCTTTGGGCATGGACCCTCACGAATTTGCTTTTGGATACTACCCAAAAGGCCTCATACCAATGGAATATTGTCCTACACTTATAAACCCATCATACTTCCCATGTCTGGTCGATGAGGGACTTCTTTTTACTCCCAACAGTGGTGTGAGTAACCGATGATGATTTTGTCGATGTTGATTTGTGTTCCTCTGGGACTTTTTTATTCTTGGAGATGAGTATTAGGACAGTACTGTAATTAAACAGAGAATTTCAAGAAAAAAGGGGTCAATTTTTTCTAAATAAGTCCGTGTCTCAATTTTCATGCCCTGCACGAATTGGATAATTATTTACTCTCAGAGAATCACCTGGAGAGAATTTAGGGGGGCATTTAATGTATAAGATGCTATTAACCAATAGGTTTAGCTCATGTTTGGATTGGATAATTATTTTCTTTTTAGTAAGTCCCTGTTTGACTATCATTATTTCAAAACCATTTAATTTTCACTTATTTTCAACTTCACATTTATACAATAAAATATTTTTCACGTAAACTCAAAACATTTCAACACTATTCAAAACTCTATTTTCTTAGAATAATTGCCTTGAAACATGAGCTAAATTTAAAATTTGATAAAAATTGCGGGTCCTATAAAATATTTGGTTGAAAATAAATTTGGAGAAAATGAGTTTTAAAAAATGAAAGCTGAACAATATGGGCTTATAATCTTTACCTGTTAAAGCTATTAGGAAAAAAGCACAAAATACGATAATAGATTTAGTAACTAATGAAATTAACAATTACAGAGAAAAACAAAAAAATATGAACCACTACAGAGAAGAAAATATTAGGTGCCATTCTCTTTGGTGTTTTCGGGCCGTTTTCTGTTTTCGATTTTTCAAAACGGTGAAAACTTGTTTTCTTTCCCATTTTCGAAAACGAATTTGTGAAAACACAAATTTATTTTTTTACACAAAACGAAAACGGCCAAAAGTCGTTTTGGATGTTTTTAGGCCAAAACACCAAAACAAGTTGAAAACAAGGGAAACAGGCAAAATGAAACAAATCACAACTCCACGCCATCTTCAACAAACAACAGTTCCACACCTTATGGAGCCGGCACCTTCTACTCCAAATTCAATCACTATACCGCCTGACAAACCATCGATTTTCCACACCATCAACATGTCCTAATCCCACTCTTGAATTCCATACCAAAATCTGAAAGAAAAGGGAAAGATCTTGCCCAGTTTGAATGCAGCGAACCATGCACATAGCATCCCTTTCTTCCGCCGTCGACGCTGAGAATCACGGTCGTGCACCACCACCATTACCTCCTACTCATTATGGCGGACAAGATACATATATGGGTCTTCATCAATTTAGCTCGAATCTGCCAATCAATGAACCTACAACCAACACGCACGAAATGCTGCTCGACCTCATTTCAATTGAACACTCAAATATGCTCCAATCTAAAAATCAACTTGGGAGAACTGAAATTCATCATTAAATGACACTGGGTACTCATTTAATTGCAGAAATTGAACTATTTTTCATTCATGGTATTTCAACTGAACTATTTTTCGTTTTCGAGATTGCTGTTTTGGTGTCTTCGTGATGATATTAATATGTTGTTGGATAATTTAGGAATGTGATCAGAGCTGGTAGTGCTTGGTTTACTGTTTTGTTCTTATTGTTATTACTGGAATCAGATGGTTTTTTTTCTAGTGTTCATCTATTATTTGCTTGTTTTAGTTCTTTTTGTTTAATGGCATTCTTACAAAATCATTACTTATATTATTTCATTAGTTTTTGCTCTATGGATTCAAATGATTGATGGAGATCAACTTCTGTATGCACTATGTGAGATCAACTTATGTATGAAAAAAAAAATATTTCAAGATTCTTAAAATTTCAAAGTAAACGCGTTTTCCAGTTTTCTATTTTCAGAAACAGTTTTTCAAAATGACAAAAAGAACGTATTTTCAGTAATCTCAAAACAGACACTCAAAACATAAAATACAAAACACAATGAATTCAAAACTTAAAACTGAAACGTAAAGAGAACGACCCCTAGTAGTTCGAGGCTTATATGATATACAATATCCTTAAATAGATTTGTCCCCTCAGTAAAAGTATTCTACATTTCCCTGAGTGTTGTCTCCGAGCATACAACGAAAAATCAATAAAAATTGGGCATTGAGTTTCAACATCAGCAAACTACTGAGTCTTATCTAAACATTGTCATCAAGACTCGGAACAAGAACCGAAAAAATCGAACAGACAGAGAATAGAATTTTGGACGAGAGAAATGAGAGTTTTTTCCCTTCTTGCATGTAACTTAGAAAATTGACATATATTATAGGCTCTACGAAAGTAAATTTTAATTTCATCCTCTAACAAGCCATTTACAACCTATTAACAATAGGAGATGAAGAAATTGAAAGGACAGTTAGAGATAAATAAAATAAACAGGAAAATAATGGCAAAACGTGGATACTATCAAGGGATCAGATTTCGGTTCGACATTCGTGTTCGCATCACAAGCTCGCACACAAATTCAATGGCACAATCTACTAATTCGATCCGTGATTTGCACCCAAGAGCGCGTGTGTAGGGAGAACATTTATACTACACATGATTACACCTTCATAAAATGTGGTCATAATCTAGCCATTACCTTGTATTTTTTCTATGTAGGCCAATATACAATTGCTTTCCCTCCAATACCTAAACCACATTTAAATGGGTATATTTTGCACTTTAATTTTTTATTCACCCAAGCATCATTTTGGCGAAGTAAATATACGATTTTGATGCTCTCATTGAGGAAGCATGAATCTACTCTGATCTTCCCGAACGAAGAAGTGTTTCCCACTCAAAATATGCCAAACAAAACAACTTTCCAACAATTTCCTACATCAATAAAAATTTGAAAATATTAAGACTTGGTAATAAAGGTCAAGGGTCTTAATTTATATAGGATAGATATGGATGCATTATCATTTGAATATTTTCCCGTGAAAGTATATTTACTTTACTAGTTAGGTAGTATTGTGGACACGATATTTTTATGTGTTCTGCTTTTTGTATAAGCGATAATATACTTCACATATGATTCTTTCTAATATAATTCAATTCTCATTATTATGTTCACTTGTAACCATGAACACATTTCTTATCTTGCTAGAGTTCTAAGAATTGAGTCCCAAACAATTCTCTTGGTAGCAGTACCACTTTTCTTTCTCATAGAAATGAATTCCAAATTAAAGTAATGCTCATTACTCCACTCAAATTTCCAATGCATGAGAATCACTAAAAGCATAGTACTTATCATTTTTCTTACAGATACATCATTGTTATATCATAGGAAAGGACATGAGATAGTCTCCATGGTAATTTGATTAAATCTTTACAATTAAGTAGTTCTTTGGACTTAGATCTTGAGATATCCTGTCAACTAGATTGGATTTCCATTGTTCCAACTTATTCTTTCAGTTACTTCAGTCAGATTCTTTCAATGACTTCTAAACTAGCTTCTATTTAACCCTTTAGTCAGTCGATCCACAATGTTAACCTCATATAGTCAAGAGAGATCACTACAGTTGAGAGTAGTTATCCTATGATATTATGTTTATGTTGTATATGTCTAGAATTACAATTATACATGTTGTTTCGTGCCTTTTTAATCGTAGATTGACTATCACAATGTATGCATATTGCTGGCACATGCTTTGGCCATTTTGAAATATACTTAGCCTCTTCACCACATTTTTCTATGGATATAAGCTTCCATAGTAGTCCTAGCAATTATTAATTGTTCTAAGAATTTTCATGATATAGTTGCACAGCCCAATATGAACATAAATTCACTTGTTGACTTTAAGTCTTTTATATTATATATCTAGTTGCATCATTATATCTTTCAATAACTACTAGATATATGGTATAGTATAGTTCATAGCTACTATTATACATTAAGTGCCCTTATTACGCCTTTATATAATGTGGCTATTTATAAATTATGAGAGAATAACAGTTGGGGTCTCAAGCATTTCAAAACTTTGTAGAAAATGTCCAAACTTTTCATTTTGATATCTAGGGTCCCAACCCTTTAGTTACCGTTGCAAATGGAGGACACGTGAACGAAATTTATCTAGGGATTGCAAAAAAAAAATTTGACAAACCTGGTACCCACTGGGCCCCGCACCTAGCGAGGCGGAGATTACCTGCTCAATAGGGTATTCGGGTCGAGAACGAGACGAATAACTTCGCCTCGGGGAGGGTACGAGGTAGGTATGAGTAACAAGTACCCCGCCTCGTTTAAATTTTTTTTAAAATTCAATACTTTAAATGAAAAATTCAACGAAATTTCATTAATTCTAATAAAAAATGACAGCGAAAATTATCTTAAAAAAATGACAAATAATAAAAGTCTTAGTTTACCAAATATATTTGAATAATTTAACATTTGAAAATAAATAAAAATTTTTAAAAAATATATTATTGTCTCATAGGGATGGCCAAAAAACCCGATACCCACGGGCCCCCCAAACAGGGTGGTGATAACCCGTTTAATCTGGTATTCGGGTCGGGGATGGGACGGGACGAGACGGAGAATAAAATGGTGGCAATAAAATGAATTATCAAAAACTAAAAAAAATTAAATAGTGTAGTAAACAAGGCAAATGTCTCGCCTTGACCC